GCAGACGGGCCTGCGGCCCAGGCCGGCTGGCTGGCTTCGGGCGGGTGCTCTCGAAGGGGCGCCACCGCGTCTCAGGGAGCTGAGTCGTCTTTCGTGGCCTCAGTTTCCCCACCTGCGCAAGTGCAGGGGTGGCCAGGTGGACGGTCTGGCACTGGGCACCTCGGGTCGCACTGTGTGGCACGGGCGGGAGGGTCAGGGGTCGCGTGGAGTGTGGTGATGACGCTCGGGGCAAGCCGCTTGATCCCAGTTTCTTCTTTTGTGAAACGGGAACGGTCGTCGTGGCGCTTTCTTTTCTTTTTAATTCTGTTGATTGATTTTGGAGAGACAGGGAGAGAGAGCAAGCATCGATTTGTGGTTCCATATATTTATGTGTTTACTAGCTGACTCCTCTGTGTATGCTGACCAGGACCAAACCCACCACCTCGGTGCATTGGGACGATGCCCTAACCAACCGAGCCCCCCCAGCCCCCACCCCACCGTGGCATCGTGGCACTTTCTTTCACAGAGTTGTTGGGGTGGTTAAATGAGGTAATGCTTCTTAGACGTGCGACACAATCTAGGTGTTTGCTGTATTATTAGTCATGATTATTATTGATGAAGAACATATGAAGTGGACAGGAGAGGTTCAGGAAATGCAGGCGGAAAAGCAGCAGGGAAAGGCTTCAGGTCTTGGCCACTTCCAGTACACGCACTGTGTGCCGTGTGCCAGGCACGGGGCTCCATGCTTGTTTCACATGTGCAAACCCCACCCCCCCAAATCTGGACATGTCCTCTGCCCTGCCTCTACCTTTATCGTGCCCCCCTTGGCTGGTGTGGGGGGTCTAACGCCCCACTTGTGCTGTGTCTGTGTGGACATTATTCTGGGCCAGGAGTGTGGCTTGGGGATGAGACCTTGAACACGGCATTGGAGACGCACGGCCACGGGTCTCATCTTCCCCGTCGGGGGAGCCTTTCTGAGCCTCAAATTCCTGGTCTGTGACAGATCTCTACCGATCACAGCAGCTAACAGGTATTGAACTCACAACGCACCAGGCATGGTGGGACGTTAGGGAACCTGTATCATGTCTCCCAGATAGTACACAGCGGAGCTGGGCTTGAACTCGGGCTTCTGACCCCAGGACCTACATTCTTTGTGACTCACCATTCTGCACAAAGATTTTTTTAAAAGATTTTATTTATTTATTTTTAGAGAGGGAAGGGAGGGAGATAGAGAGAGAGAGAGAGAGAGAGAGAGAGACATCGATGTGAGGTTGCTGGGGACCTGGCCCACAACCCAGGCATGTGCCCTGACTGGGAATTAAACCTGCGACACTTTGGTTCACAGCCCACGCTCAATCCACTGAGCTACGTCAGCCAGGGCTTGCACAAAGATTTTTAAAGCCCCTGAGACATGACAGGCACTCAGGAGACTGTCATTCTCATTATAATCACAGCTAGTCAGAGGGGCAGGTGGGACAGAGACCCAGGCTGTCTGCTTTTAGCATCTGGACCCTTAAGCCCACTGTTCTACTCATTCGGTGAACATCTCCAAGTGCCTCTGCTTTTCACCAGTGTCAAACACTGGTGAAACGTGGTGAACAAAACCCCAATCTTGCCTTCAGCGGAGTCACTGCTTAGCCCAGAGACGGTGCTACAGTCAGTGCTGTGCTGCAGTAACAAACATCCCCCCGACACGTTGGTGCTTTACAGTAGCAAAGGTGTGTTGTCCACTTACATGGCTTCTTTGTTGTGAGATCTGGCTGTTCTCATGGCCAAGGGAAAGAAGTGGTGGTGGAACCACACGATGCCTCTTAAAGCCTGTGCTCCGACAGGGCATAGCTCACGTCTGCTCGTGTTTAATTGGCTAAAGCAGTTAGTCCTACATCACTTCTCGCCTTAAGCCATCTATTTTTTTAATTAATTGAAAGATGAAAAAGTAGGTTTCTGTTATTCATAGGGTATCCCTTTCAAGCATCCTTTTCTTCATTGTAAATAAAAGTTTCCAGATCATGTCATTTTCCTTCTGCCTAAAGAAATTTCTGGAACATTTCTTTTCATGAAAGTCTGTTGGTGATAGGTTCTTTCAGCTTCTATTTACCTAAGAAAGTCCATATTTCACCTTTATTTTTTTGAAAGATATTGTTGGTTTTAGAATTCTGGGGCTGATGAATTCTTTTGTCTTTTGGTACTTAGCAGATGCATGGATTATCTTCTGGTTTGCGTAGATTCTGACGACAAGTCTGACCTCATCCTTATCTTTATTCCTCCCAGTGCAATGTGCGTTTTCTTTCTGCTGGCGGATTTCAAGATTTTCTCTCTCTCACTGTGTTGTTTGTTTTAGCGATTTGATTACAATAGGCTACAGTGTAGTTTTCTTTGTGTTTGTCCCACTTGGTGTTTATTGGATTCCTTGGATTTGTGGGTTTATAATTTTATCAAATGTGGAAAGAATGTTGTCTCATTTCTTCAAATAGAGTTTCTGCTCCTACCCCGACCACACCCCCAGGCTCCAGTCACGTGTATGTCAGACAGCTTTAATGGTCAAAGAGGCTCTGTTCATTCATTCTATGTCATTTCATTACTATAATTTCAAGTTTATTGATCTTCTGCATTGTTTAATCTGCTACTCATTTCATTCAGTAAAATTTTATCTCAGATATCGGCATCTTTCATCCTGAGAAGTTCCATTTGATTCTGATTTAAATATTCCATTTTTCTTCTTACGACCACGTTTTATTTTACAACGTTGAACACGAAAAACATATCTACAATAGCTGTCTTCAAAGACGTGTTTGCTAATACTGCTGCTTGTTATTTCTGGGTCTATTTCTATGTACTGATTTTTCTCCAGGATATGAGTCACACTTTCTTGCTTCTTTATATGTCTGGTTATTTTTATTGAATACTGAACATTATGACTTTTGTATTTTGGGGTGCTAGGTTTTGTTGTACTTGTTCAAAAAATGCTCAAGTTTATTCTGGCAGGTGTTTAGTTCCTTGCAGATTGGTTCAATCCTTTCAAGGCTTCCTTTTTTGTTTTTAAAGATTTTATTTGTTTATTTTTAGAGAGGGAAGGGAGGGAGATAGAGAGAGAGAGAGAGAAACATCAATTTGTGGTTGCTGGGGGTCATGGCCTGCAACCCAGGCATGTGCCCTGACTGGAAATTGAACCTGTGACACTTTGGTTCACAGCCCACGCTCAGTCCACTGAGCTATGCCAGCCAGGGCTCAAGGCTTACTTTTAAACCTTTTCAATGGACCTAGAGTAGCCTTTTTTTGCAGGAATCATTTAGACTAGTATCTGAAGCCTGTCCTCTCTAGGGTCCCTACTGAACCTGCTCCGTGTTCCAACAAAGCTCCTCCACTTCAGCTGGTAAACGTGAGCATGACTTGTGGCTTCATGAGAGCCCTTGGGATTACTTGCTCCCCAAGGTACTTACAGCTCCCCAGAGGGTACTGTCCTCTCCTGGAGTACTTTCTTGCCAGTTCACGTGGGGCTTCCCCTTACCCACACACAGGATTGGTATTCAGCCGATAATTCAAAGTTCCCCTGTGCCAACTTCCGAGGCTCTCAGTGTGACCAATGCCCTCCTCTGCAATACTCTGTCTTGCAAATTTCAGCAAATTTACCCTTTTCAATCTCTGTCTCCTCAGTTCAGTGAGATTATTGGGGTCTCCTTGGGTTCGTCTTCCCCAGCTGAAGGCTGGACATGTTGTGTGTGTGTGTGTGTGTGTGTGTGTGTGTGTGTGTGTTTTTCCAGAATACCTGGTGATCACAGAGCTCAACTTGTTTTTTCCCTCCTTTGTGAATGATCCCAGTCCCGTGCTATGTCTAGAAGTAATTGCTTCTAAGATGTCATACAGTTTTCTAATTATCGGCAGCAAGAGGCTAGTCTGCATTTTCCCCGCCTCCTGGCCAAAAGCGGAAGTCCTCAGTCACTCCATCCCTCACAAGGTTTTGAGGATTACTTTTCATTGTCGGAATTGTGCGGTGGGCCCTGGCTGGCGTGGCTCAGTGGACTGAACCAAAGTGTTGTCAATTCGATTCCCAGTCAGGGCACATGTCTGGGTTGTGGGCCAGGTCCCCAGTAGGGGGTGTGCGAGAGGCAACCACACATTGATGTTTCTCTCCCTTCTGCCTCCTCTCTCTCTAAAACTAACTAATAATAATGAAAAGAATTATGCAGTGGCTTTCCCAAGAATCCTTAGAATTACTTATTCTTGGTTTGAAAAGAATAAATTCACCTGAAAATTATAGAAGTTCTATAAGAAAGAAAAAGTCAACCCAAGGAGACGAAAGGAAATGAATTCAACAATATTCACGGAGCACCTTCAATTTGCAAGGCGCTGTTCTAGTCGCTGGGGGTATAACCACAAACAAAGAGGTTTTTAAAAAATCTCTGCTCGTACCGAATGCACTATGGAGGAGATGAGGAGGCCACAAGCATCACAAGTGAAGTCTTAAAATCTTTAACCCATCAGGTAGCGAACACGGAATTACAGAGAATGAATCCTCCCAGCCCACACGTGGCCCTGATTGGAAAACACGGTCACTGTCCCTTCATAAACCATGGTGACAACGGCCATCTGCTTAGAGGTGGAATAGCCAACTCTATTGCCACAAGTGGAGATCTCGTCCAGGGCTGCCCCCTCGAGCCCTGTTCATCTCCTTGCTTCAGAAACGCACTCACCCCAAAACCACCTTCACGGAAGTATCTTGCTACCTTGCGTCTCTTCAGCTTCCCCAGCAGGACCGGGCGCTCCGTGAGGGTGGGCATCGTGTCTGGCTGTGCTCACAGTTGTGTCCCCAGGCACCGCTCGTAGACTTGGCCACCTGGGGGGTGTTCAGTAAGTATGTGTTCGCTGTCAGCATGTGTGGAAGACACGGGTGGGCGAACAATGCTGCCTGGATTATGCCTTACGTGCACACTCTTGCTTTTGCCTTTACAATCACTAGCCAACTTCTCCTTGAATGTCACCTGTTGTGATTCCACTTTCCTTCTTTCTTTCCTTTTTTGCAGCGGTGCAGTCACTGCACACCCTCAATGACCAGATATCCCACTTTATCGTCACCAAGTCCAAGGCGCTGGAGGAGGACAAAGACCCCTTTGTGCCCGCTGAGAAGGAGACCCTGAAGAGCTCCATGACCTTGATGAGGCACCTGCTCATGGACGCCCAGGTACGGAGACCACCGGCGGCACTCAGAGCCGGTCGCCGGGGGTCCTTGGTGGTGGTTTCGTGGCGTAAGTGATGCAGAAACATTTAACGACCGCCCTTATTTAAAACTGCCGTCGTGAGAAACAGACATTCTGTTTTGAGTATATTGAAGGCTGGCTTTGTGATAGGGTATTATTTGGGATTTAGTATTAAAATAGCTTGTTTTGAAGTCAAAGTAATAGGGCTTAAAAAATAATGCATGTGTTGTCTCTGAGAATTTCACAGATCTCCCATTAGCCTTAGAAAAAGTGAAAGCCCATTTACATACCAACTTGGCAGGCACTGGAGCTGGCACAGGCTCTGGAGCAGGGCGGTCCTTATCCCCGACAGCACCGCTGAGGAACTAATGGATATTTTGGTGCATGGGATGCGCCACCAGGAAGTGCATCAGCATTGGGCTGGGTTTTTGGTTTTCTTTGCTTTGTTTAAATGCCAGGAATAAATGAATTGCAGAAGGTATTTAGCTCCTCGCATGCTGTCGTTGAAGTGCTATTCTTCCAGGTTTCTCCTTGTGCACTCTTTTATTGCAATATTTTAAAAGGAATGTATTTACTCCACCTGGTGTTGTTGGTGGGTCTCTCCAGGTAGGCTGGTGAGCAAACACCAGGTGTTGAAAGCGAATTGCTAGTTTTCTGCGAGTGAAGCCAAGCTGAGCTAGATTTTGTTGTCATTCCTGCCTCTTCGGTACCTAGGAACGTTTCAGGAAACGTTCTTTGGGTTTGGTGCTTTTTGTGTCCGTGTTCCCGGGACCATTCTTCCCGAGCTGCCTTTCTGTTCCGTAACAGCGAGGTCGGAATGGTCAGTGATTTCCTGCGTCCTGCTCTGAATCCGATCGTGCGCCGTGGTTTCTTTTGCTTTTGTTTCTACCGTGGCGGCGTTTCATGCTTTATTTCTTGAATCAGTTCTGAAGCCTGGATCTTGTACCAGTTAAGACTTTAAATGGCAACGCTTTTGTCCTCTCCTCACCTGTGCGTGTGTGCAGCCTCCCCTGGGGGAGTCCGGAGCCCTCGCGTTGAGATGCCTGAATTATGCAAAGCCTTTCATTTTATTCATGCTCTCCCTTCCCCCCTTTGTGACGAACAGCCCTTTCAGCCTCCCCTTCCTCCCCAAGCCTGTCTGGGAGAAAACGGGGAAAGGTTCTGAAGCTCCGACAGCCAGTTTTAAACCTTCAGAAGAAAGGGAAATGTAGAGCAATTTGCTAAATAAAAGAGAGCAAATTGCCCTTGAAAGGATTAGCTTTCCTCCGTGCCGTGCCGGGACCAGTCCTGCAGCGAACGCCCCAACCAAGGAAGCTCTCTACACAAATCCCCAAAGATACCGTGTGAACTCCAGTTCTGCAGAATCTAAGGGAATGAGATCATCCACCCTCTCCCTCTCCTTCACACGGGAACAAGTGCCTGGAACCAGGTCGCAAAAGTGTTTAACCTTGCTTAAGGAAGTACTTGCTCCTGTCCATGTTGACTTCATTTGACAACTTCCATCCAAATTTTTTCCTTTTTTTTTTAATCTAATGGGTCTAAAATATTCCATGTAATGGGATCACAGAGTAGGGACATTTCATTGTATCGCCTTCTCTCCGGATCCCACACCCGTGCCTGCTGGAATTTTCTCACGCAGAAACAGCGCAGCAGGCTGTGGCGGGCACCCCTAAGTCACCCTCCCTGAAAGGAAGGTGGATGGGGCTTCCTCTGGAGGGACGGAAATCACAGAAATCCAGGGAGGAAAGCAGTGTGGCGTCCGGGGAACCTTTTTTTCACCTCCTGTCGTTGGAAGGTTCCTCCCTCCTGTCTCTCAGACTCGTCCAGGATGAGGCGGGCTGTGATTAGTGTAGTCTAAAAACACCACGCTCATTTCTTTCCTCCTCAAACCGCTAACTTTTTGCAACATTATTTGTGGTTCTGAGTGTAGGCCCTGGAATCACATTACCGAATGCCCCCAGGCCCAGAGCGCCACGGACATAAACTCTCCGTGCAATGAGTCATTGCCAAGGTTATGAAACGCTAAGGAACCCCAGCATGTGGGGGACGGCCAGGGGTGATATGTGGTTTTCAGTTTTGAAGGAGACATTTCAAGACAGGTTCATTTTAATGAGAATCTTTATTGAGCCTTCTTGGCAAGTCAATTATTTCCCATTCACTTTGGACATTACTTCTTACCTCCATTCCAAAGACGAATGCCTGTACTTACTTCGTGTTCGAAGCTCATCAATAAGGGGAGGGCCGCAGAATGTAAATATAACTGCTGTGTAGCTCCTTCCTTTCGGGCTGCATTTTGTAATATTAATGGACGTCGGACAGGCTTGCGTGTGGCAGGGGGCGAGCTTTACAAGGGTAGTGACCACAGCGGTCTCCGTTCCGTACTCATCGGACTCTCCACAGTGTGGCCGTGGGAGGACATACTCCGACCTCAGCTTACAAGTTGCATGAAGTCGGACAACAGGCGTTCGGGGGAACCTGGGCGCTGCCTCCAGAGTGACTGCTTGAAAGCCATGATTGATTCGAGTCACATCTGTCTTGGAAGCAATACATCCCGCCAAGGAGAATGGCAGAGGCAAAAAGCATCGCTGGGCTGTGCAGTTCCACTCTGAGGATTATACGACGGTGTGCACAGAGCAGGCGCATCTCCCAGGAGTGACAGCGGTGCTGGAGATGATTGGCAGGTCTGCCCGTCCGCCCCAGAGAGCGGAATCGAGGAGAACATTGCACGCAGGCAGCCGGAGGCCAGCAATTTTTTTATTCTCTCCCTGAATGCTTCTGTGAGGGGGTGTCTGAGGGTGGAGAATGCCTCTGTTTGCATTCCAGTCCCTTTGTCATTGAAGTGTCCCACTCAGACCAGAAACCCGAGCTGGTAGCCTTATTGCCGAGAGCTCCTCCGTGTAAGCCCCAACTGCCAACTCAGCCTCGTGAGCGATTAGGTTCATAACACCGAAGAGGCGATTCTTTCTGGTCGAGATTAATTCTCTTCCTCGCACTGTGTGCCTCTGCATGCTAAGAGGGGTTGATTACAGCAAATTAAATCTCCTATTGGCAGTTTTCTCCTTCTTCCCCCCAAAGACCTTAGATCATTACGTATTAAAGGCTGAACAAATGCCTGGGAGAACAGTCAGACCACTCTGTCGGCATTTAGATTCTCCCCTCCGAGGCTGGCTTCCAGCTGAAAGGCAGAGACGTCCGTGCCGTGCTCTGGGCAGGGGGTGGGGGTGGTTTCATGGTGTCCGGCCACGGAACACGAGTGGCCACGAAAGGGCTCGTGTTGCCCTGACCTCAGGGCTGCCCGGGCCTGGCAGTGCGGGAGGCTGTGGCTTGTCTGGCATCCGAGGGTTAGCTTGGTGTAAGTGAGCTGAGCCACGGGTGCGCCTGCCCAGGGGTCCATCTCTAGGAACGAAGTATCAAACCTTTAAACACACACACATACACACACACAAATTGCATACCCTTCACCTCTAAGCAACCACGTGTTTACAACCTGGCAAAGCCAAACGTTGGGCGGGAGAGAAATGAAAGCTGCTTCACCTTCCGCCCTGTCCCCCCCACTCCCGACTCTCTCATCCTCCTCCTTTTACTCTTGCTGTCCTCTTCCTCCCTCCATCCTGCCCCCCACCCCTCCCACCCCCCGGCATGTCCCCTCCTTCCCTCCTGTCCTCTCTTCCTCCTCTCCATTGACTCGCACTCCTCCTGCCTTGGCCTCCTCTTCTTCCGCTTTGCAAAGTCTCAGTTGTGATGTGGGATGAGACTTGGGGGTGCGATTGGGCAGGAGGCTCACCTGGCATTCAGCAGGCAGCCAGGGCCCTGCCAGGGTCAGAGACGCGATACGATTTGGGGTGGCTTCCTCTTCTTTCCTCAAATGTTCTAAAAAAAACCTCTCCTCTGGCTGATGATGCTCTGAGTAATTTCTGGCAAAACAAACACAAAAGCAAACACCAAAGCAGACCGATAGCACATGAATAGGTTGGCTGCTCTCACTCCCTGGACTGGCCTCGGATGGGGAGGTATAGTTTGGAGCTGAGTGTCCACCAGAGAAAGCCCCGGCCCAGGCTCCTGGCAAACAGGAGGGTCAGCGCTGCACAGCGGGTGCCAGCTTGTGCAGGAAAAGGGGGACCCTGGGCATCAGGAAGTTCACGTGCTCATGGCAGAGGTGTGCTTCAAGATGGTGTCTCCCATCACCAGCGTGTTTCATCCTTTCCAAAGCCAGCCCTCGCTCAGGGGACGGGCGTGTGCTCACTGCCAGTGCAGGTTACCTGGTGCTTTCCAGCTGCTGTCGGCTCCACGGTCACGTCCACGGGACCGACCCCGCGGACAGCCCTAGAGAACCCCTCGCCCTCCTCCCCTCGCCCACTGAGGCACCAGCAGGACGCTCGACATCGGAAGGTCGCAGGCGCTGGCGGTGGCCACGAGGAGGGCCCCAAGTGGAGGGAGATTTTTCTTATTCTCTCTTGAAATGTGACGCGTGGCTGGAGCCAGGACTGGCACTGTTGCCCTCTGCTGCGGCAGGCAGGGAAGAGACTCTGAAATTAAACCAGAGCGAAGAGGCACCGTTCTCACCCCAGGAAAATTACTCTGTGATATTTTTAAGTCCACTCATACCGTGAGGTGTCCACCCCTTAAAGGCTGTAGGAGAAAGAAAGAAAGAAATGGACGCTGAAGAATGTAGTTCACTTAATTCCAGAGCTACCAGGGTAAGCCGGTCGGTCCCAGGGCTCTCAGCTCACGCCCTCACGCCAGAAATCAGTGTGCGTGTGTGCGTGTGTGCAAAGGCAATGCTTTGTTTTCACTCTCAGGTGCAAAACTCTAAAATCAGTGGGTCTGAAGCTTGCAGTTCCTTCTGTAAGGCCCACTTCCCATTCTGCCACGGCGATTTTGGTCTTCTCCAGTTTAAGAGATAAATACATAAAATTCCACCTGCAGGCATCGCCAGGCTCAGGTGCAAGCCCCTCGGAGGCAGAGCTCCCGCGATCTCTCCCTG